CTAGCAGCTGCATAGGAGGGAACCTCAGAAGAAGTGGCAAGTGCACTGCCTGAGTTCACCCGCTGCCTGAGTTCACCTTTCTCAGGGTGGGATTTCTATCAGCCTCTTGCACTTCAAGACTAGCTGTTCCAGAGCAGTGACAGATGAAAGATTGTAAGTTCACTCTAGTAGTCTCAAGCAGGCTGGTTTTGGTGTCTCTACCTGTTTCTAAAGGCGCCTTCTCCTTCACCAGGAGTCACCGTGTTCTTTGCACATGCGGCAACTGCTCCATCCGGTTTGGGTACTTGTACCACAAATTGTTCAGCAAAACCTTTCAACTTTCTCTTTGATACAACCACCTCATAGGCTGTTGGGCTAGCTGTAAGACTGGATGTATTTACAAACCACAAGTTCCTTATCACTTACATCGCCTCCCTTAATTTTTTGTATGAAATCCTTTCCCTTTAGCGGTTGATATGTATGGTCCCTCTAGGACCAGAGAAGATTCTCTGCCCACCGCCCCCGATTCTGTATTTAAGGTGAAACAAATGAGCCATTTCTGAGATTTGAGACTTTACAAACAGAGGGAATTTGCTTTCAGAATATTCTTTGGACACATCTCTCAGATGGCATGGCCTAGAAACGTCACATTTGCTTTATTCATAAATCTAGCTGAAGGCTTGTCTGCACTGTGCATTTAAAACCAAGTTTTCACCTAGGTTTTAGTCTTAACTCCCCCATTGTCCATACAAAGACCTCTGACCTGGGTTTGGAGGGATTGTCAGCCCAGGCTGGCTACCCCAGCTGGGGAGGTGGCTAGTGCCCGAGTTCCGGTTTAACGTGGGCTGTAACCTGCTGGCTAAATCACTCAAGTGCTCAGAGTCCTCTAAAGCCCTTCCCACAATTTGCTCCCTAACGACAGACAAGTTCTCTTGGAACTGACACAAACAACTGAAAAAGAATATTAGAGCAACTCAGCACCACAAACCATAGGCTATACCCTAAGGCTTGGTCTACACTCTTGGAGAAGCATAAGGATCTTGCACAAAAAGGGTTTTTTGCGCCAAACGGCCACAGCCACGCTGCTTGTTTTTGCACAAAAACGGCTCGGAATAGATTATGCAAATGAAGCATGACAAAATGCTAATCAGCGCTTCATTTGCATTGCCTCTTCCGGCAAAAACTCGTAGTATAGACAGCCTAAGAGTGAAGAAATAGAGAGGCCACAATAACTCAAGTATGGCGTTGTAGGCAGCACACTCATCCCTGGACTAGGGTAACATGAATTCCAACAACATGGGTTAACTGTGCAGTGCAGAAATAGTCTAAGGTCTTCCCTCGTATCTCCTCCCCCACCCTTCCCCTTTCCGTAATATCTCAGGGGGACTGAGTCTGCGTCCTGGACTAGTTCTCTAGCCTGTTGACCATTATCCTTTGTGTAGTCCTATAGCACCATAGAGACAAGCAAAAATATGTAGAGTATTACAAGCTTTCGTGGGCACAACCCACTTGGAACCCAGAATTTATAACAGAAAAAACAAGGGAGAGAGAGAAAGAAAAAGAAGTACTTGTCATTTGTAGTGCCGATGCTAAGGAGGCTAATTGAGTGGGTTTGAAGTGTTAGCTTAACTATGCTATTGATGTAAATGAGGTATTAAATGTATGGAAGGCATCTCTGTTTGAAATTCTGGGCTCCCTTTTTTCTCCTTTCCTACTCATCTAAAGAAGTGGACTGTATCCACGGAAGCTCACGATACTCTCTATATTTTTGTTCGTCTCCAAGGTGCCACAGGACCACTTGTTATTTTTAAAGTGACAGACAAAACATGGCTCCCCCTCTGAGACTCGTTATCCTTTTTTAAAATTTAATGCACAAAATAATTTCTGGCAATGAAGGCTGCTGACTTCAGGAAGTTTTCAGGACAGATTTCAGGGTGTCTGAATGCTCCAGGAGATTCTCAACTGGTCATTCCAACTTTGCCAGAAGTCGGGTGAACTCACCAAGCCCCATTTGGAGACGGTTTCACTGACTGTGTGTGCTCCATCAGCTACACTGGCCCATCTCAGCAAGATTACTACAGTTTGCAACCTCCATCGGACAAACTACCAGGCTTCCAAATGTTTACAAATTATGCTGGCAAAGCCATGGCACCTGTGAGCCCCATGCTGCTGGCAAGGAGATTTTAATAGCCACCAGCATAACTACACTCAGTAGGGTGCAGACTGGCACAGCCTCCAGAAAGCATAAAGCAGTAGTTGGTCTGGTAACTAAGCTAGTTTGAAATGAGTATTACCTGGCATGTTTGCGAGGACACCAACTCCCAACCCCTCAAATATTGCCCATTTTTAAACTTCCATTTGCGGCAAGACAGAGGCAATCAAGGCTACTTTTAAAGTAGATGTGGACATTCCAGAGATAGTGGTGACCACTATTTTATTTGTTTTTAAACTTCCATTTGCAGCAAGACAGAGGCAGTCAAGGCTACTTTTAAAGTAGATGCGGACATTCAAGAGATAGTGGTGACCACTATTTTATTTCAAATGCACAACTATAATGTTACTTAAGGGGGGGTCGGACACAAAGGGAGAGCCATTAAAATAGTGTTGTCAAAATACAAAAAGCCTCCGGGTCAGACACAAAGAGAGAGCCATTAAAATAGTGTTGTCAAAATACAAAAAGCCTCCAAGACAGACATTCTGGTAGGAGAGTTCACAAACAATGAAACAGAAAATGCCACACAGCCAGAAAACAACGCTCGATATGCCAAAGCCTCCATATTTCATTCTCTAGGTAAGAGTGAAATATACATTGTTTTCCATTTGATTTCACTGAGCGGTGAGGCTTCAACTAAGTAAAGTCAGTATGGACCAGATGCTGAAGTCTCCTAACGTCAAGGGGAGTTTTGCTACTGCCTTCGGTGAGAGCAGAAACTTGACCTTCCTTAGTAATAACCTGACATTCACATAAAAGGAAATATGTGATTTAGGCTCTGACTACGATGGATAAGAAGGATCCTGAAAGCTACAGTTTAAAATTTCAGGAGGCAAAAACTCTGTAATTTGATCAGATTGAGGTTTACTCTATTAAGTGTCAAAACTTAAACATCCATTAGAACAACATGACTTCGATCATTATCAGCATACCAACTGCAAAAAATATTAGACTAAGATACCGGAAAGCTGACAGGAGACTGACATTTTAGGAATGTATTTCATCTCTGGCAGACATGAGATCTTTTGAAAGTCTGTATGAGAAACAGGTATCTGGGTAATTATCATACACACACTGTCAATCAGGAGATTAACCCTTACACCTTTCCCTATCTCCCATTTTTCTCCTTACTTTTCTGTGTTCTCGTAAGCAGGATAAAGCAGACCTTTACAATACAAGTTATATTTTTACACTTCAATCTACCCTCCTAGTGATAGCAATATTTACACAATTACCCTTTCTGTATACACTTGTGTGCGATACAGTTCCACTAAACATTCAGTATAAATTAGAAGAGGACCACAGGAAGCGGAGAGAAAAGGTGAACAACGGGATGATCACAAGAGAGAATGGGGGACCCACCATGTTTCCTTTCACAAAGAGAAGACTGCTGTTCAGTTACCACGAATGAAGCAAAGGACAGAATAATTAAGAGTAGATCCAATTATCTGCAATATATCCTACTACAAAACTGCATCTCTCCAGTCCAGCATCCTCGGAACCAGACTGGTGCTGAACCAGAGAATTTGCCAAACCACAGGAGGTCAATGTTATCTAGCGGCATTACCAACACTTCCACTGCTTACTGGACTCTGAGAAGACATTTAGGGGCAAATTAGAGCTAAACAACAGCATGGAAATATGAGAGCTAAAACCCAAACGTTATGGGACTGCAGGAAACTTGGACACACCCCGATAAGTGGACATCCAGCTAAGTAAAATCATGCCGGACCACAGATGTTGCCGGACCAGTGAGTGCCAGACTAGAGAGGTTCAGCATGTACAATCACTAGCATGTAACATGGTGGGAAATGAAGGAATAAAAGTGTGAGTGTGAGTGTGAGTGTGTGTGTGTGTGTGTGTGTGTGTGTATCTTTAAATGGGACCAGCAGAAAAGCCTTAAGGAGAAGAGAAGATTCTGGTGTGGTCTAGCTATCTGAGGGCATATCTACACTACGGAACTATTTCGAAATAACTAAATCAATGTAATAACTCCCAAAATAACAAAATTGAAATAGCATGTCCCCACTATGAGGAAGCCTCAAAATTAGTCTGAGGCAGACTCTGTTAATGAGGATGCACAAACTTGACTTAGAGCCCCAGGAAGCACTGGGGAGTAAATAATTCAAATTACTCTGGGGAGTAGTTATTTTGAAACAGCAGCAGTGGCATATCCACACTAACACTACTTCAAAATAACTCTCTCAAAATTAGCGTTACAGGCAGTCCCTGACTTGTGACGCGATCGGTTCCTGGGGAAGCGTCGCAAGTCAAGGGTGTCATAACTCAAACCCGCATTTACGATAGGCAGCGTGCGCGGTCGTAAATGTGGGCCGAGGACATAAGTCGGGGGATTTTGGCCCCTTCCGCACTTACAAAAATGGTCGTAAGTGCGGGGGGGAGGGGTCACAACTCCGGTTGTTGTAACGCCGGGGTTTCCTGTATTCCCTGAGAAAAGCAGGAGTGCCGATATCGAAATAAACAACCCATTATTTCAAAACAACAGGCTTGGTAGCTTGGAAGCTCCACTTACAAATTCAACCTAATGGGGGTTATTTCGAAATAACGCCCTAGTACAGACCAGGGCTGAGGCAAGATCGAGGCATCAGCCCATGTATCAAAGAATCAGTGTTATGAGATGGCACAGAGAAGATGGCAACTCTTAGGGAGCAGCCCATATAAGCAGCTTTTGCTGGTGACACTGACTTAAAGCCCTGACAGGACTCTCTTCCATCCTAAACAGGAAAGACAAGTCACTCAGAACATTTCTCTACGTCACCCTTCTCCCAGTGCATTGGGTCTAACTTACCTTTAATAAGCTCCGGTTTGTAGGCTTTTTTCAGCTGGTCTAGGAAGCTGTTGTAGAAAGACTCTGCTTGCTCGGCAGGCATAGCCATATGATAGTCCGGTTTGTTTCCTTTCAGGATGCACTGCAGAGTAAACTGGCTGACACAAAGCACCTCGTACTGTTTATCCATCACGCTTTTAGACCAGTGTTTCCCACTTTCGTCTTCGAACACGCGCAAGTTTAAAATCTTGCGAACCCTGTGTGGGGGAAACAGAACAGTGAAGGCTACCTGCATGACCTCGAATCGTTTGCTATCATCACGTGTAAGGTAAGGTCAACAGACGTAAATGCCAGGGCGCTGTTTCGGGAGAGTGGGGGAGTAGTTGCCGTGCATACCGGGAAGCGACTTGCTTTTCTTCCCATTCCCCTATCAGGGAGCATGGAGAAAATACACAGATTTTGTGAGTAACTCCTCTGCCACCTCCCTTCACCAGCCAGGCGTGAGAGGCATGCACAGAAGTTGCGTACTTTCCCCTCGCTCCCGGACGGTCAGGGGAATTTGAAGAAAAGCAAGCTGAGTCCCGGTATGCATGGCTGCTCCCCTCTCCCCGCCCTCCTGAAATGGCTCCCTTGCATAAATGGCTCCCGGATAGATGCAAGCACAGGTAACAAGATCCCAAATGGCAAAGCTACCAGCCATTCATTCATCCCTTCCCCGCAAGGCAATCTTATCAATATCACACATGCAGAAGCACAGGCACGAAAGCCCTGGCAAACTCTTCATGCTATTTGTATTAACGTCTTCTTTTAAACACCCTGCTACAGACCGTGGGATTGGGAGGGGAACGAAGTAACGACAGGCCAGGGAGAGCAATGAGAAAATCGTGGACTCTGAAAGCTCACCTTTCCCTGGCTACATCAAGATAGCACTGTCTGATGTACAACGTGAGCAGGCATTGAGACCTACGAGCCTCTCAATGTGTGGAGAAATTAAGATTTATTACAAGAAAGTTTAGGTGAGAAAATTAAGGTCTCAGGCATCAGGAAATGGCTCCTCACCACCTGAGCTCTACCGCTTGCGCAGGTATAGCTAGTCGCCGGGAGGGCAGCAGCTCTCCTGGGGTCAGGCCTGGGTTTTGCTAACACTGCAAGGAGGAATGAAGGGGCACTGCTCTTTGCCCAGGAAGAGAGGACCAGTTAAGCCAGACAGCCCAGGGTCCATGAAAGCAGCCAGAACAGGTGCAACGGAATTAGAGGAGGGCAAAACTCTCGGGGGGCGAGGGGGAAGGGAGGGAGGTCAAACTGGTGATTTTAAGATAAAGAATTTGGGCACACGGTTAATGAAATGGGGAGGACAAGGGTTTATTTGAGGGAGCAGAATTGAAGTAGAAAACAAAACCAATCACCTGCCCTGAGCACACAAACAGGCCCCAAGACACTACGAACTTGACCCAACAATAGTCATAAGCAGAGATGCAATTGCCTCTTCTGTACGTATGCAACTAGCTTGTTTCCAGCGTACAGTCAGTCAGAATACTCCATTTCCATCCACCTTGATTCTTTTAGGTTCTTCCTTTAACTTTTCCTCTGATTCATCACTTTACCTCACCTAGCAACGAGTGCTGTGAGGTAAAGTTTGTTTGGAGGAGCACATCCAGGGCAAAATGCTACAGCCATCTATTTAAATTCATCACATCGTGCCGCACAGAAGAGGACGTCGTTAGCCTACAGTTGGAACTCACTTATTGTGAAGTGCAAGTCTTTGCCTTTCCGCTGTTGTGATGGCATAAAAATGCATTGATGTTCAAGAAACTCTGGATGTCAAATAAAGAGAAACTGCTCCTGAATCAAGCTGCTGATTAAAGGCTGCTGGCAGAGACTTAAATCACATCATCCCAGCTACATTTTGCAGACAGTGACAGCACTGAAATGACAGTCTCCCTTGCACGATCAGCAGATAAAATTTCATTCAACGGCTCTTGAAGAATCTGGTTCAAACTAATTTGTCATTTTTGCTCCTTAGCAATTCTGGAGCATGCTTATATTTTATTTAAGAATATCTCTCTCTTCAATAATTCAGTCCATTTGGTTGGTTGTTTCCTGCCTTTTCATTTAGCTTCGTATATGTTGGGTGGGATAAATTAATCCCTTGGAGTTCAATGATCCCTATGTTCTAATCGCCCCTGTGCAGTACTGGTCACCAACGTTCACGGTTAATAAAGCAAATGTGAAATACAATGAGCCAGTGAATTGAACACACTGTGAAGATGGGTAGCTCAGCATCACACAGAACCCCATTTTCAAATTTCTTGCCCATCTTCTAGTTTTAGATTCTAGCAAGTCAAGCCCCGGAATGGTTCACAACTCCGCCCACTGCTCTCTTCAGTATCCAATGATAGTTACTGTCGCCCATTCTCCACTCTTCTCTCTAATCAGCAAGGACTCACCCATTTCACTCACCTTCTCCTTCCCCATTTACACACTTCTTCCATTTTCTTAGGGTATGTCTACACCAGAGGTTGCAACCTACGGTTTTAGAGCCAAATATGGCTCAGTACGGAACCAAATATGGCTCTTGTGTCACCCCCAAAACACACACACAACTTTTTAAATTAAAATGAAAAATTAATTCAAAATTTTAAAAAACACATAATTACTCATGTCGAGATGATTTTTTTTGCCCTTTTCACTTTTAATGGTTCATTTTAACAGCCATTTATCCTCTCCACTCATTGGGGGTTTTGCATGTTCCCTTTTTATTTGATGGTCCCGAAATCATTCCATCATCATACGTGGTGGTGAACTCTGTAATCCCCCACAGTAACAATGTCAAAGAGAGATGACAAGTACCAAAATTTTCAAAAGGAGCGGACAGATTTGCGTGTATTTGTGGATAGGTCAGGATCTCCACACGGTTTCAATTGTAGTGACAGGCTGTTCTCAAACAAAAACAAAAACAAAAAAAATACAAATTTCAGGACAAAACTTGCAGCATTTGCTACAAAATACCCCAAGGGTGATGCCCGAAAAAAAAGCTTGCAAGGAGCTGCAGCAAAAAATGAACATTGGACAAAATAGCCTGTAGGCCTGGTCAAAAAAAGGTGGGATCTTAAATTCCAGAAGTTTTACCGGCTCATACAGCAGTAGTCAAGAGGAGAAGCCTTTCACTGATGGGGATCACATGAAGAGATGCATGCTAAAAATTGGTCATGAGCTATTTGACGAGTTTCACAACAGGGACAAAATCTTACAGAAAATTCAAGACATGCCATTATTGGCAAAATCAGTCCATGACAGAGCTGTGAAAATGGCCCATCAAATCGACAAGGAACAAAAGCAAAATTTGAGTACAGCTACTTCTTTTTCGTTTGCTTTGGACAAGACAACCAACACACGTGACATTAATCGGCTGTGTATTCTGGGATGATATATTTGTGGAAATGCTGTGCACAAAAAAATGACTGCGATATTACCAATGAAAAATTAAACAAAGGGTAAACATCCTTAAAACTATGATGAACTTTGTAAAGAAGAAAAAAAATACAGTTGGATAATCTGGTGTCTGGGTGTATGGATGGTGCACCTAGTATAGTTGTCAAATACAGGGGATTCCTTACTCTTTTCAGAACAGTTGAATTGCCTGCTTTTGAACTTCCATTGCTTTGTGCATCAGGAAGCACTTTGCGCGCAATCCTGTGGGACTGAACTGAGAAATGTAAAGGGATTAGCCATTCACATTGTCAACTGGATTCTTGCCCAAGCCCTAAATCATTCTCAGTTTCAGTCACTTCTCCGGGAAATCGATTCTGAATACCTCGATCCACTAATGCACAACGTTTGCTGGTTATCTCGTGGCAAACTTTAGTCTCATTTTGCCACCTGCATTAACAAGATTAAGCCATTTTTGAATATGAAGGGTATCAAACACCCTGAGATTTCAGACTGTGACTGGTTGCTCAAGTTTTACTATATCGTCAACATTATGGGTCCTTTGAATGAGCCAAACTTTAAGCTACAAGAGCAATGAAATACAGCCCTAACTCTGCAGCAGGCAATGTTTGGATTTGAGTCAAAATTGACCTTCTTCATCAAAGATATTGAGATGGACACATTTTGAAAAAATTACAAATGTTTTGTGATTCATGTCAGAGAGAGAATTCAAACAACAGCCTTGATTTGCAGCAGCTTGCCAGGTTTGCGTTTTCAGAAACGCTCAACTTTTCACAGGCAGACTGAAGAGAGACTATACGACCTTGTTTCTTAAACTGTGTTCCACAGAGACGTACAGGTGTGCCACAACCGTTTGAGGAAAAATAACGGCCGCTACAGCCACTGAGACGCAGCGGGTGATGCAAAGGGTGGAAGAGGTGAGCAAGTAGTGACACAGCAGTGACGTGGCTGGAAATTAGGCAGAGCTGCCTGCGTTCCTTCTTGAGTGCTTCCACGTGAAGGGCGGAAGAGGCGAGCGAGTGATGACGTGGCAGGAAATGAGGTGCCCTTTGCCAGAGGGGAGGGGCGTTGCAGGGCCAGCTCTGATTGGCTGTCTCCGCCACTGTCTGGAGATCCTGCCTGCCAGGGGAGAGAACTGCCCTACAGCCGCCACCCCAACCGGGTCTTTGCACCACTGCCTTTAGCCCTCACTTGTTACCCAGGTCAGCTAAGGGGGGCCAGATACAAAGTTCCTTCTTTGTTGGATAACTTTTTTTTTTATTCATGGATAGTGATTGACAGGTTATGTCTGGAATACTTAGATTAAAAAAGATGTTCCACTTTTCTAAAGATAATTAAAAAGATACTTAAATTATCATTCGGCAGTGAGCGAATATTGTCACTGTTAATAAAAGTGTTGTCTGGTGTCAAGGGGCGTGTGTGTGTGTGTGGTTTTTTTTGCTCAACCAAAAACTCTTGGTGTTCCTCATAAAAAAAAATTATTGTTTGGTGTTCCTTGGTCTTAAAAAGTTTAAGAAACACTGCTCTAAGACTTCTAGTATCCAAAAGCCTTTCAAATATGTTGTGTGTTAATGTGAATAACAGTTTATAATGATGCACAATAGAATTTTTTTTTAATGGAATCACTCAGAAAAACCCAATGGGAGGTTATTTTCTGGAAAAAAATTAGTGGTTTGTTTGTTGTGGGGGGACTTTCCACAGTGCTGCATAAAATGAAATTAAACTATAATTGGGAAGTCCACACTCAAAGTGTAATATTAATAAAAAACGGAGCTCAGATTTTCCTAAAGCAAGAAGCAACCTTATAAATGTAGTTTTGAAATTACTGATTCAGAGTTAATAGCACATGCATAAACAGGAAATACAAGGAAACACTCAATGCATGTCACAACTTACATGTGTTCTACCTCTTTGTGAGTATCTTCCAAAGAAATACCCAGCAACACACAGATGCCTCGTCCAATGGAACTTATTTGTTCCCCACCCACTGCAGGATTTAAAAAAAAAAAGTGAAGTTAATACATTATCTGGCTTTATGACAGGAATGCTGACAGGATCACAATAAATACTTTCTAGAAATGTGAAGAGTTAACTGTCGATGCATGTTGGGTCAGGTACATCAATTCAGTTTTAGAGACAGGACTGAAAGTCATGTCTGTGAAAGGAGAATTACAAGAAAGTTTATCATCTTGCAATGCCATAAGAAAAAAACAAGACACGTGCATGCGCCATAGCAGCATTCCAAATGTTCACTCTCTAGCACACATTTCCATCCTCAGATTCAGGGCAAAATTGCGTAGCCCCGTTTTTGTGAGTTACAAAATTTCAGTCCTTTGCCTCCCGTCCAATTGGTTTGTTAAATGAAGTGGCAATTTAGCAGCTCAATATGCTTGCTCCCAGCATTTCAAAACATTACACGAAGAGTTCTACCATTTGCAATTTTCATGGTCGTTAATGAGAGTCACATGCTTAAGAACATGAATAAATTCTTCGAACATTGACCCAAGCGTATGAAATCAATCAACTCCTCTGATTTCAGCATTGCAGAAGTCCCTCAAAATTAACATATTTACAAAATAATCAATCTTTTAAAGTTTCCGCTGTGCAAAACAGGAGTTGCGGTCAATGTTTCGGTTTGTCAGTGTGCTCACATCCTTAAGGGATTTGCGATATGGTTCAGTGAATGGGCCCCAACCCTGAGAGCAAGGAGACCTGGGTTCTCTGCAGCACTCAAGTTGGCTAAGCAATCTATGAGAAGACTGCAGTTTCCTCTGGGTTCATATCCCTTTTGTGTTGACATGTTAAACTTTTTGAGTACAGTGGCACCTTAGAGACTAACAGATATATATATATATAGCATCATGAGCTTTTGTGGGCAAAGCCCACTTCTTCAGATGAGATGAAGGGGTTAAACAGGGAGGTTTCGCTGTGGGCTCTGCAGCCAGCTCGCCAGGAGCAGGGCTGGCAGCCCTAGCTGGTCCCTCTCCCAGGGAACCAGAATGTAACCTGCAACAGGGGGGCTGAGCTACGCTTGCCATAGACATGGGTTACTCCGGCCAGAGCAGCCCCTGCCTGTGGTAGGCCCGGCAGGGCCGGAGCAGCCCCCTGTCCAGGAAGGACAGGGAGCTACCCCAGCCCCTACGAGTTAACCGGAACTGGTAAGCATTACCTGTTTAGGGTGATGCTTCCCAGTTAACCTTTCACCTTTCCCTCATTAAAACAGGGACATCCTACATCCTTGTGATGCAGAAAGTCAGATGAGATGAACACAACAGCCCCTTCTGGCCTTTGAAGCGATCTACAAAAACAGATCTGTCTATACGTCGTCCAATTCTACCCAACCCCATGAAAACAAATATTTTATTTCCAATGTCATGAGACTGTTATGTCCCGCTAGAGAGAGAGTCCAAGTGATTTTAAAGAGAACCCCTGGCGATGACAGCAAGGATTTTATTTAGATTTATACAACATTTAAAAACAAGCCCCACTGGACTAAGCATGTGTTAGTATTTGCTAAAAACCCACAAGCATCCCTGCACAAACAAGAAAAAGAAAAGCCAGCAGCCTCTAGGGACGTAAGCAACTAGTCGACTATCTGATAAGCAGAAGCTTATTGGAGAGTCGACTAGTGATGCAACTAATCGCTTCCCTCCCCTTTGCTGCCTCTAGCAGAGAGAGGCAGGCAGGGGGGAGGGGGCGCCGGTTCTCCCCAGCACCGTCTCTGCGGGGGCAGGAGAGGTAGAGGCACAGCAGAAATGGCGCAAGCAGGGACTGGAGCAGTCTCCACTCGCACTGCTTCTGCTGCGATTCTGCTTTTGAAACGTACAAGAGCCCTGCACATTTCAAAGGTTGAGGGGTTGCAGGGAGCCTGGGGCCAGTGCCCCTATTGGCCCCGCACGGGGCTTCTGCTTTTAAACTGTAGCAAGACCCCAGCAGGGCTAGAGTTCAAAGGCAGAGGCGCCCTTATAGACTAATCGAACAGTCGATGGAAATCCCATGGAGTATTTGATTCGTTAATTCATCTAAATTTAACATCCCTAGCAGCGTCCCACCGAACAGAACACAAACTGCCATGACAGACGAGACTGCAAAACCCAGGGCTACTCAACACGCGGCCCATGGGGCCACATGCAGCCCGTAGCCCGTTTATGAGCTTATTGGAGAGTCCACTAGTGATGCAACTAATCGCTTCTCTCCCCTTTGCTTCCTCTAGCCTCTAGCTTTGCTGTCTGCATCAGCTTCCAGGGGATTTTAAGGTCGTTACATTCCTGGGCTGTCCTTGCTCACTAAAAGTGCTGTCATACGGGTGGAAATCGGGTAAATATTGTATTTTATTAGTATCAGCAAAACCGATTTAAATGGGACCTGCGCGTTGTGTAGTCTTGCCTCAGTCTTTGTATTCATGCCCATCAGACGCTCTTGCCCACAGCCCCCTCTGAGTGATATGGAGGGGTCGTGAGCTCTGCTGACCTCAACTCTTTTCTCTCCCATAGGCAGGTCCCAGCTCCGTAGGGCTTGATAGGTCACCACCAACACCTTCAATCCCATCCACAAATCGGCACCCATCACAGAGTGCTGGTAGGGTTGCCAGGTGTCCAGGTTTTGCCCAGACACTCTGGTTTTTGCCACCTCTGTCTGGTTTTAAAAAAAAAAAGGAAAGAAAATACTGGACATGTAAAATGTCTGGTATTTTCTGTTTTTCTCGGACAGAAGTCCCGAGGGGACATTCTTCCCCTACTGTGTTTGGTGGAGGAGCGTGGAGTTATTTAAAGGCGCAGTGACCTTTTTTTTTTTGCTCAACAAGTTTGGTCCTCCATTTTTTGTTCCTCAACCAATTTTTCCCCTGCCATGTTTGTTTGTTTAAAGTATCCGGTGCCATGCTCAGCACAAGATACTCTGATGAATATGTGGACAGCTGTATTAACAGTCTGCATCAGCTTCCAGGGGATTTTAAGGAGGAGCTCCAAACTCGAATACATGGCATTGTGCTACCATTGTTATCTGTTCTCAAGTAGCACCTACAATCCCTACCCCCTGGTCATAGGGGCAGTACAAATACAGAACAAAATGTGAGGTCTGCCTCCAGAAAAGAGAGCTGCAACATCTCAGCCAGATGCTCAGCAGCTAAGCCTCACTGTAATCAAGAGTCAACAGTTAATCCAACATGCAATACAGTCATGTTATTAAAAACTGATTTATGCAGCAATATCCCCCTATATCCGTGAATAACAGCAAGGACACAGAAGACAGAAGCGTGTTGAATGACTAAGGCAAAAAGTCAGTGGGAAAATAAAAAATTTGCAGAGTTCCACCAAATAACCAACGAACCAGGCTGGCCAGAAGCACAGCAGCTAAGCCTCACTGTAATCAAGAGTCAACAGTTAATCCAACATGCAATACAGTCATGTTATTAAAAACTGATTTATGCAGCAATATCCCCCTATATCCGTGAATAACAGCAAGGACACAGAAGACAGAAGCGTGTTGAATGACTAAGGCAAAAAGTCAGTGGGAAAATAAAAAATTTGCAGAGTTCCACCAAATAACCAACGAACCAGAAAGGCAACCTGCCTTGTAGCGGATGCTTTGCAAATGGAAAGAAATAGGTACTGAGCAAGCCAGGTCAAATCAAAGGTAACAGTCGTGCTGTAGGCACACAGTCAATCTCTGGCCCACGAAAGCTCATCACCTAATAAACCATCTTGTTAGTCTTTAAAGTGCTACATCGTCCTGTTTTTTGTTCCCTGAAAGGGGTCTTTCAACTCTCTCACAAACACCAATGACAAAACTTTAAACTTCCCCAGGGACAGCAAGCGTAGCTGAATGTAGCAGCGGGAGAACACCACACATAAGGGCTTCCAATCAGTAGATCACAAAGGGGTAGCAGATCGTTATCCCCAGGGCTCGACAAACCCCAGCAAGAGCTACTCACCAGCCCCGCACTGCACATGCACAAAGAGCCGGTGAATGGGGCGCAATGGCTGAAATCTACTCGCCACAGGCAAGTAAATTCAGCAGTTTGTTGAGCTCTGATTAGCCCCATTTTACAGATGGGAAAGAAGGCAAGAAGAAGTGAAACAGCAGCAACCCCAGGGCAGAACTAGGAACAGAACCCAGGACTCAAGTCCCTATCCAATGCCCTTTCCACTAGTCAGACTTTTCTTTGAGTCCGCCTCCACAGTGAATAGCTCTAGCATCATGGTGTCCAACCAGTTAGGAAGCAGTAGCCACTGTAGCAAACTAGCCACACTCAACCAGCCAAATAGCCACCCGGGGCTACTGGATTGGACACCTCGGCTCTAGCATCTGCTCCCACTGCTGCTCTAAGATGTACCCAACAGCAACAGAGTGATTTTCACGTCAGCAGCTGGGTTCTGCTGCAGTCCAGGTCCTAATGATCAGCAGAGAGAACCCTGGTGTGTTCTCTTGGTAGCACAGCTCAGCATCACGCTGAGCAGCAGCAGAGGCACTGGGCTGGCTGCAAGCTCCCGAAGGCACCACGGATGTTTGGAAGGGATCTGGTTTTGTTGTTTTTCAATCTGGAAGAAGATTTTGAAGGAAAGCTTTGACTCAGCCAAAGGGGATGGGGCTCGTCTGGCCAAGCTTCACCTGCCCCCCAGACCCCT